GAGCTGAGCAAGTAAAAATCTCAGTCATCCTAGCAATTATTCTACTTACTTTGCACTTCCCATGATCAGCTGCCTGGTCTGTCCCCTATAACAACCAGGGATTGTGGGTTTTCTTGCTGGCAGTTGCATATTTCCCCCTGCAGATCAAGCAAATTCATTCTTTTTTTGTCCACCCTCCTGCTGCGTAGCCAGGCACGTGTGCCAGGCAGTCAGCCGGGGGCTTCCCTGGAACTTTCCTCCCAGTCCTTTTCCTGGGAGAGGCCTAATTAGCTTGATATTTAACCAGACTCAGGGAAGCTTTGCTAAATTCATCTAATTCATGGTTAGGCAAAACACAGCACTGTAACAACTTCAGCGAGGAGTCATCTGTCGAGTATCCTCATTTTGTGCTTTAACTGACATAACATCTATGCCCCTTCATCATCCTGCATACTAGATACCTGTGCTTGCTCGTAACAGAGAGCTCCTGGCAAACACTCAGCACCTTCATCAGACTACATGTCCACCAAAGCACACAGTCAACTTCTGCAAATTCAAGATGCTAAGTACAGGACATTAATGCCATTCTGTACATATCTTTAGGTATATTTTCTCTGGATATGAGATTCAAAGCACCAGTGCTGTAAACCAAAGTCTTCCTTCATGTCTATTTGCCATAAGTGAATCTCAGCTGAGATTATGAGAAAGGTCTATTAAAAAAGAGAAATCATGGGTTTCTTCTACATTGCACAGAAACAGTGAATAAGGTTGAACATATTGATTCATAACTACAGCTCCACACAGAGCTGTTTGGTTGTGCACTATTAGGTGCTCCTACTAGAGAATCACAGGCTATAAAAATCAATGTATTTTAGCCATTCCTGAGGGCTAAGACAGAAAGGGCATTTTTCAGTTTGGATTATTTAGTATTTTTTGGTATACAACTGCATTAGCTTTTAGAGAACAGAAATTGAAGCTTTTATGTATGTGTATACAAAAAGCCCACACTCGATAAGAACGTGAAGTTTCTCAAACAGATCCTTACTTTTTCAACAGCCTTACCCCCCCACCACCACTAATGTCAAACAAGATTTTAACTTTCTGGCTAATCTAACAACTTTAATAGACCTATTCAAATAGATTTTGAGTCAGATAATATCAAAGACCAAAGGAATCATAATGGCAATTTCACCTAGCTTCCCATATGACACCAGTCACAGCATTATCTACATGTCCTGCACTGAACCCAAAACCACACTATCTTGATTTCAGGTGATGAGAAATCCATACCTGTTTATGTGATAAACTTAGATATTGCCATTCAGCAGGCTAGGGAGATAATTTCATCTAGTCAGACATTTTAATCTTTATTGGTGGTGCTCTGGCTGTAATAATTCATAAAAGATAATGACTGCAACCCCACTTTCACTTTCCAGTAATTAAAATCTTGTCCTCTATGTTACAAGTTCTCTTCTGTTGTGCTGATGTGAGAGTGGTTATTTTTAACTACATTAACTGATTATCAAACAATCAGGGTGATCTACTTTGTCTGGCAAGGGATACATCAGCTTTCTTTGCTGGCTACTTGCCACCATAGTACTATTGCCAACATGCAGCTTTCACTTCCAGGAAGGCCGCAAAAGGAATAAAGCCTGCACCTCACATTTTATAGCTAGAAATCCTCTACCCAGATCTGCATGGATGGATATTCCAGATTCATCTACCCCTGATGGTAGGGGTGGGACGTGGACAGGGCTGGTTAGTGTAAAAACTGAAGACCAGAGATTTTTCACCAGGGTAATGAGGCAATCTCTGTATCTTCATATATATACGATTTATGTTTTTCTAATTGCTAATTAACAAGGCAAAACCAGAGGCATACAGGCAGTTGAATTTCAAGCATTTACACCCAGAACAGCATTTACTGAAAAGTTGTCTCAAGATTGTTCCTTGAAATCTACCCAGAATTCTAGCAGAAACAACTACCAACAGCTCACTCATGAAAGGGAGTTCTAAGAGAGAAGCAAAAAGATAAGTCAGAATGCCAGGCTAGTCTGAAATAATCCACAAGTGCCTTTGAGATACTTGGTAGGACCCATCTATTGAAAAGTAATGTAGAGGAGTTACAGGGTTCAGATCTGATGTCCACATGCGTGTGGGGGAGAAGAGGGGATTCCTGTCTAGTGCATCAGAGACACTCTGTACAGGTACGAAGAGTTGGAATAAAAGTGACTCTTTGTACCTGTATAAATAAAGCTATGTTTAGACAATGACTCAAGTCCATACTTAAGTGTTCCTTATTATTATTTTCTTAGTGGTAGCAGTGTTTCCTGACAACAGGTCTGCTATCTTACTTAAGCAATTAATATATTTTCTTCGACACTCAATAGTTAAAGATTGTCTTTGTACTGTTTAACACGATCCTTTTCCTTTTTACTGATGCAAGACAAAGAAAACCAAGTTACTTCAATATCTAAGACAGGTGTTTCCCACCAACTCGTCACAGCCATCTGAACTTCCTTAAGCTGTGACATAAGGATTACTCCTGCAAAACAGCAAGGGGCTGGTGCTGTAAGGAGACTAACACTTCCCTGCAGGAGCCAGCAGAAGCAGACGAACCAGTTTCCCAAGATAAAAGCTATGATAATTAGCAAGGACATTGCCATCTGAATCTGAACAGGATTCCTACGGCTGGAAGTGGGTTTCAGTGTCTGAAATGTCATTAATCATTGCTATGCTTTCTTGTATGAAGTGACCCAAGTTGCAACTCTGGCAGGAAACAGTTCTCCCCTCTGGGAAGTGCAGCCAAGGTGCTCTCTTGAAGCCCCAGCTGCAGTTCCAGTTAGAGGCCAGAAACACAGGAAGTCTTCAGATGAGCTCAGATATTTTAAAATGCAGGGAAGGGTGCAGTTACAGCACGTGATACAGTCACCTATTTTCTGCTTGGCTGTTTTCTAGCTGTGACTGAACATGCATGGTCTTCCCTGAAAGCCAAAATATTTAACACGCAAGTGCAATGTGTGTTTAGCGTGTAAGGAAAGAAACTTGTTTACTTCTATTACAGCAAGACAATCTTAATATGTAGAGGATAAGCTTAATATTAAAATATTAGAAGTGTTTAATTGTCTTTGCTTGGAAGATGACCATTTTGCAGGTTTGTAACAATTGAAAAATATATGAAATAATCTTTACAATATCCAAGTCCTTACGCTGTCATTGCTGTATTGTCCGGGCTAACAGTAGGGGAGGGGTTTCATAAGCACGCCTGTCTTCTGCATCAAGACAATTTCCAGACACAGAGAATTCTCCTCTTGTGAATCATACAACAGATGAGTCTTGCCACAGTAATTTATTTCTTAAAAATCTAGTTTATTGCACTTGTCTCAAAGCACAAACAAAACCAAAAAACTAAATACAGAAATAAAAATAAAAACCTCATCCTAATTTCATTAAAACTACTCTAAAAAGTAGTCTGATAAGAGCTCGACACCAATTTAATATAGCATAGCAAAGTACAGTATTATACAGGAAATAAACAACTAGCAAGTTCAAGCCATTACTAAGATGACTTTGAAAAATGTAATACAAAATTACTATTAAATAATGCCATTGTACTTTAGCATCTGGTGGTTGGCAGGGCACAGAGAAGTACTCATGTCCCTTCTCCAAAGTGATTGACTCAGGAGCTGCCTCAAAATACTTTTAAGCTGAATTTTAGCTTCTTTGGGGTCCTCAAGATACCAAACTGTATTTGCATAAAACAGACTGGGTTACTTCAGAAGCTGATTCCATTACAATCCACTGCCAGACAAGCTAAAAAATCCCTCTGGGGTAATCTCCATATACGGATGAGATAGCAATGAAGCAAACATATCGTCTGTAAAAGGGCAACAAACCTCTCCCCTCTGTAGGACTGAAAGATCAGACTGAGGACTGACAGCCAATATCACAAGTGGTACTAAAAAAAAGTGACATAACTTGGTTCTCTCTCCACCGATTCACATTCTCACCTTGCACCGTGTTTGTTCCAAGTTTAGTGCAGTACATGCACAACTTACTCTGAAAGAGAACAGAGGTTAAAAAGAAAACACATCCTTTTCTGCATGTATTACGTCCTCCAAACAGAAACATCCCCACTTTTCAACTCCTGGCCTTTTCTGAAGCTGGCTCTTTTACAGTATTGGTTAGCAGCTGTTTTAAACGTTCTGAATGATTTATAAGCTTAGAACAAACACAAAATAACTCCTCCCCCTACATAGTGAACTCAAGTTCTCTCATCTACAGTTCTATTGCTTAAAAAAAGATGAGGTATCTTTCAAAGAAGATTTTGTTTAAGGAAAAATAAACTGCAATGATTATCTTAGGTTAATTCCCAGTTCATCACATACCTCTGCTGCAAGATCTGTTAAGACACTTCGATATTTAGCTAACATAGCTAAAATTCAGAATATTGTTAAGTATTTTCTCACAATATCATAATTTTTAATGGGATATATAGGTAATTCTATCAATTACCGTTTTTTCTTTTAATAAATCTAAGTTTGGTACTCAAAACAATTTGAGTCCAAATGTTAAAGCACTGGCTGGAGGCACAAATACAGCACAACAGGAATTATGAAAGCTGCCTTGTAATCACAAATCCAACATGCAACTTCTTCCTATTCCAAAGTGGGACTTACCCCAAAACTCTGTCAGCTTCCTGATGCCTGTGTGAAATGGGCAAAAGTCCCGCTGATATTAGGCATAACCCAAACTTCTCCCTTGTGAATGACGCCAAATTATGAACCAAATATTTAGAAATGGAAGGTTAGTATAGCCTTATAGATATTTATACGGAAATGGATCAAACTAAGTTCAACACCAATGCTGCATAATCACAATGATCTGAGATCTTACTAAGAAATACTTTGCCATATTTTCTTCCACACCGCAAGTGAAAATAATTCTAAATATATGTACAACAGTTGGAGAGAGTTCCCATCAGTTTGGAATTCCAAGTACAGGAAGAAACTGAGCAATGCTTAATGTTTCTGCTGTAGAGAAATATTTAATGCAACAGAATTCCTTCTCAAAGTAAGTACACGTGTAGTAGTGTGCATGCTGTTGTGAAATAGTCTCTTTCATTGCTAGTAAGATTAACTTAAAGAGTTCCCAAAGGAGCTTCTACAGTAGTATGGTATAACAATTGCAGTATGCCACACCTAAAGGGTCTCCGAAGAGATAATGGAACACATATCAGAACTCACAGCTTGAGGGCTATTTAACAGGTCATTTTTTCAATACAAAAGTGCTAATATCACAGGTCCAATATTAGTGGCTTTTAGATCCAATGTTCTGTACATACAACACAGAAATGCTGTCCTGTTTTTAAACTGCTTCACAAGCTTGAGAGACTTCATATCACTTCCCATTCATCTTCAAAATCATCAGGATGAAGCAGAACAGAAGTGTCATTAGTTTTCTGCAAACTATGGGAATGGCTAAAGGTCTTAGTGAGGCGCTGGAGAAGGGATCCTGAAGCACTGATCGCCCACAGTTCATCTAGAGGAGTCACTGCAAAGTATAAATTGTCCAACTTTTAATTAAGGTAGCAGGTTCCAATTAAAAACATCGAATAAATAACATTTGGATCTATTTTCCCAACTATAGCCTGAGAAGGTTTTTACTATGGTGATAAAAGTTTCATTCTTGCTGAAACTCTCACAGTCAAAACAGTATTTAGATTATGCTGCTCTCCTTGCATATGGTCAGCTTGAGCATCGTCACGCAGAAGTCAAAGCAGACATCACAACGTTTTGGACTGTCATGCAGAACCAACTTGCCTGTTAAACGTGAGACATTTCCAGGAATCTTCTTCCAGTAGTCTCCTGCAGGATTCTTGTCGGTGATGCCATACCGGCGAGCTACATCTCCATTTGGACAGCGTGCCCAAACGGTCCTTGTACTTATAGCCAGCTGACAAGCCTGCAAGCCTAAAGATAATGGGACATGAAGAGAGAACAATCACAGGCTTTCTTATGTACTAAATAGACTTTCAGAAAAGTTTAATAAGAGATGATGTCAAGACTGTAACAGTTTTTATGTATGAATACTAGAGAAGAACTCTCCATTACAAAAAGAAATAGCTAGTTTTCTAGGAAGCTTTCTAAGGAAGAAGACAACTTAGGACTACATTATTCCTTCCATTGACTTTAGGGGAGCTGAACAGAGTAGATACTATTCAAGTCTGAGCTTCTGGCCCCGTGCATGCAGAACATCAGAAAGCAGGCCACTTGCAGCACATGAAGCACTGGTGAACCAAAAAGCTTTTTAGTTGCAGACTTTGTACTTGCTGCATCTATGGACCATAAGGACATCACACTGTGGACAGGTTTTGCTATGTGGCCACAGCCACAAGTAACTACCAACTAGAGGATGGTCATACCCCACTTTTGGAGCCTCCGCCGTATTTTATTATCACATGGGGAATAATCCAACAGTTGTAACTCCAGTTTGTCTAAAAATGTCTACTGTTACCAACATTGTGACCTCTTTTTTTCCTTTTGACAAGAAAGCAAGTTCTCTGCAACTAAGTGCCATGCATTTAATGCAGTGGAAAACTTTTTTTATATAAGTTTTTAATAAAAACTTAATTTTATTACAGGCAAGGCAAAAATGTAATTATGTAATCTAGAATGCATCCAGCACACAGGATTAATAGAAAGATGTGCAAAATAGCATTAGGGTTTTGTTAGCCACATCTAGATAGGAACCTCATGTTGTAACACATTTAAATACAAAACTCCCCACAGCACAATAGTCCCCTATTGCTTAGGAATACCGCTTCAGTTCTAACTGAAAGGAAACTAACATTTATTAATTCTGTGGCAGAACCCTAAAGTAACACCCAACAGAAATTCATCCAAAGAAATCAGATTTCTCTTCAGTCAACTACTTAAGCATTTTTTTTTCAGTAAAACCAAGGTCTTCCTTAAAAGAAAAACCTTATCAAATGCTTTACTATGATCCTATAAATAAGCACACGATTCCTGAGAAAAATATTTTATGTAAGCATTGCTATCGAATGTAAAAAGCAACAGGAAAAACCAACAAAAAAACTAACAAAAAATGAGAAAAACTACAGAAACAACATGGAACTGATGCATTGATTTTTACCTGGTACATGTTCCCAGTCAGTGCCTACAGGCATTTCATCTGTAATTCCAACTCGTACGTGGACATTCCATTTGCTATCAATTGCCCACAACATCTGGTCATTTGGACTTGAATGAATGCTGACCAAGTTGATTCCTACTGGCTATAAAAATTAAGCACAGTATTTAAACTTTGTACTGCTGTATCTTTGTACTATTGTATCATGTGCTCTTCATAGAAGTATGAAAGACAAGTAAAATATTTACCAGACACTAAATACAGGAAGAAATGTAACTGACATTTTATTTGTTGTTGTACAAAATTACTCATTTTCCAAAAAGTCAATCCCTTCCTAAGAAAAGGAACATGAATGAATGTCACCCAAAGTTACTGATAAAGTTATTAATATTTCATGTTCAGCACCCGAGTCTAATAATATTACTATTTGCTTAACCACTGTTATTCCAGTTGGGTTCAGGTTCAAATGCAAGTTGAAAAGGGAATCCCTCCACTGAAATGCACAAAGTGCAGGATTTTCCCCTTGCCTTCCTGGAAGTTTTCCTAGCATAACTAACTCTGCACTTGATTTCTAAATATATAGAAGGGGTACATTTTTACACTCTGAATGTCTCCCCTTTGCAATGAAATGGTGCTCTGCCTTCTTCCCTGTACTCCATTCTACAATATGCTTGTGGAGCTTAGTGCAGACCACTACAGTACTGGAGCAGCCACGCCTGCAGGAGAGGGTCCACAACAAACCCAACACACTTCCCATTCTGCTCCCAGGCATGTCCTTACCCTTGCTGCTCCCATAAAGACTTGCCTTAACTACCGTTCAAAATCAGCATTACTGACCACAACACTTTAGGGACATCATTAACATAATGATTTTGTAGCAAAATGTATCAGCCAACAGGTTTACTGAATGCAAATATCCTGCAAAATATGCCCTTTAAATAAAAGGCAAATAAGAACAAGGAAAAAAAAAAAAGTCCTTCTCCACATCAGCCTAATAAAGCCACTGAAGAAGACAGTAAGATGCCCTGAAATGCAACACCACCTCACAAAGAAGCTCTGCATTTCCTGCTTTAGCCTCCTAGGCATAAGCTGAATTTCCAATGGGATAAATGGAAGAGCAAGCAGCTCTCTACATGCATAAATCTAGGTATACAGAAGCATATTCTGCATGTGTATATAAGCACACAGCAGAGTCTCAGATGGGCATTCTGTTTACACAACAGATACTGCTTTGGTTTTACTTTTAAAATTCTGGGGTTACCATGTGTCTGTCTGGCTATAACCAAGTTTGACTTGTATCACTGAATCAATCCTGACTATTCAGGTTTCAAGGCCTTTGACAGATTATCTTGCCATGTTTGTGCTCTCACTAGGTAACCTGTCCTCCACTGGATGCTTGAGGCTGGTAGATGCTTGATGAAGTGTTTACCTCCGATCACAATAAATTCATAATGGCTTCTGTTTGAACACTTGCAGGAAGACACTAATTGTCTTCAAGAGCATTGACTACATAGAATATGTAACAGCCTAGCTACTTAACATTTGGAATTAAACTATTGTACTGCAAAAAAAAACTAAACTAAACCAAATCAAAACCAACCAATAAATCACAACAGAACCGAAACACCCCAAAGCCCCACACAACCCTCCCCTCTGGTCTTGTTGCCTCTTCACTAGAAGTGATCCTTACTCCTCACCCTGTTTCTGTTTCTCCACTCCATTTTTATTTGCTTCTTGCTATGGCTGCTTTGGCTCTGACTCCTCCTTGTTTCACTCTGCTCACCTCCTCACCTCATGGGGTATGCCTCGCCCCTGGGCGGCTTCCAGTTTCATCACATCCCTCTCCATATTTCTGCTGTTGTAATCCCATGTTTTAACGTAAAGGAGCTGTGCAATTAATAGCTTGTGCAGACTACATATAACAGATCTTTGCCCTGTTTTCTTTTTCTTTAAATCCACTTATCTACTTCTTTCTGCAATGTTGTTCTAACCACAGTCACCTCTTCCCCATGTCCTTCATACCACAAATTGCCAGTGTATCTGCCTGTGCTCCTGCACTGCTAAACACTCACGTTCCAATGACAGTCCTTCACAAACTGTGCCAAACAGCTTGGTGTGACCCTTGTTAATGAACTGTTAGGATTTGTGCACCTTGCTCTCCACTCTTCCATGTCAGGATCCCATTCCTCTCTTCCGCTCTCATTTATCTAGAAAAAAATTCCCTGAACAAGAACTGGAGGAGTGTTTCCGTTCAGAAAGACTTACTGCTTACACTTAGTACCTAAGCCTGTGCATTACTACAGATTTATAGGGGAAGCTAAGAAAAGCAGAAAAAAACACCCCAAAGGAGTAGCGTGAAAGGAGCTGCATTACACCTAGCTAGATTGCTTCAAATATCACCCCAGGTTGAAGTATAATCAAAGCAATTACCTCTACTCTCCTCTGCAGCACCAACGTATCTAAGAAACAAATGGCAATTATCAAGTTCAAAGTAAAACTTCTACAAGCTTGGGCAAAAATTCTCCTCATTCTTTGTTTTTCTAAGCGAGCTCCTGTTTCCTCCTTAGGTTTCCCTACCTCTGGATATTTCACTTTCAGCTTCTCTTCCCTTTTCAGGCTACTTAGCTCCTTTGGATAAACTCGTATCAATAAAACAGTTCTCCTGCTTGCTCTCATTATCAAGGATCCAGGCAGTAATACACTGACGGCAGCACCTGATGCTCTGAGCAGAACCCCCCACTCCAGCACAGCAGCTTTCTGCTGTGGGTCACCCAGCGGCTGCCCCAACTGGCAGCATGGCCGGGGACCCGACTGCAGACAGCAGCCTTGGGCACAGGACAGTGCCAAGGCATTGAGAGGCAAGTACAGGCAATTCTTACAGCCTGTTGCAGAGGTTTTACCTCTGTTGTCATGGAGTTTTGTTTGGTTTTTAACCCAGAAACCATTCATCTACCACTAAAAGGTATTCTCATGGCTATCACAGTAGGGTGGATAAAATTAATTTAAAAATTTCTTGACATACTGTATCTTTTTTTTTTTAACAGTTATACTGACAACATCTCAGATAACCCTCATTTTCACTGAGCTTTAGTTACCACAAGCATGCTTTTGAGTATTTTATCATCTAACAAGAAACAGATCTCTACAGCTGCACTTAAAGATTAAATAAGTTTTCTCACATCAGTAAAAGAGAGATATCTGTGCAAATTTATAAATCTGCTGATAATATTTCAAAGACTGATAACCATGAAAATCAACAAATTATTTCAGTGTAGCCTTTTCTCAGCTGGTTTAACTTCCAATAGCATTCATGAGATTTTTCACCTTAACTGTGAAGTATGTCATATTTGTAATTTACTAATGAGTTTGGAATTTTTAAGAGTTTCTCATCCTTCCTCCTCAGATGTTCATACACCAAACTCTGTTCATAGGTTTATCCACAATACTCATCATGGTGAGAGGTTTACTTGTTATGGAGCACTAATAGATTCAGTGTTATCTTATAAAGCATGGTGGAACACTGTTTCCCTTTGACTTGTGCTGCCAAAAATTTCTGAACTCAAAAAATTCTCAGGAGACAACGGTTTTAGCCAAGAACAGAATGCAGATCTTCTTGCCCTCCAGTCTTCTATCTCAGCTACAAAAATCCCAGTCGCTCTCTGTCTTTTGATATTGAGGATTTCCCATTAAAACCACAGACTGCAACACATGCCAACTATGCACTTTTCAACATTTAAGATTATGTACTAAAAGATGTGAATCTCTTTATTTTCTGCTATCAATAAAAACAACGAAAAATAGTTTGCTAGTATCCCACATGTCTGACAAGAAAACAATGCTGATAAAATTAAGTAAACCTAAAGGAAGCATTTAACTAATTGTTAAATGATCTCAAGAAATAGTGTCTATGCTGAGCATTTATGTTATGAAGTTGCCCAGTAGTTTTTATAATTCTGTGCAAGTCATTTCCCTTTTTTCTACAAAGCAGACAAATAAGCTTCAGTGTAAGAACTTCATTTAAACAACAGGATCAAACAAAATTCAAAGTAAAAACTAATGTGCCCCTCCAACCCCCTCACCCCACCTCCCCTGACTCAAAAATTTTGTCTTATTATAACTACTTCAGTCATGGCTGAATCACAAAAAAATGCTTCAACTTCCTTGTCAAGGAGAAAAAGGACAAACACACATGCACAGAAGAGAAGCATCAGAATATTCGTCACATCACTTCAGGAGCACAGAGCCCATGTATCTGCAGACCTTCACTGTCTCTGTTCTGCTGCAAATATCCAAGATGAGGAAGACCAAACAGAACTCTTGCAGTTTGTTCAAGCCAAATCCTTTTTATAACAGATTGGTGGCTGCAAGCAGCACAAATGTCCTCCTCACCTTCAAAACACAAATCAGAACCACCTTTAGCTGGTCCAGGCCAGGCTGTCAGAAGGTCAGATCAGAGATACTTCTTACATTGTTGAACATTATCTGTGTATCAGAGTAGTCTGACTCTTTTCATGGCTAACAGACCTCCAAACCCCACTAACTGGTGTAACAAACTCTCCTAAGAAAGGCCTGTCTGCATATGATTTTCTGAGATCCATTTGAATGAAGTTTGTAAAGCACTTTGAACATCACAGTTATCAAAAAAGCACGAGCAACGTAAGAGAAGTGACCAGAATGTTTTGCATTCAGACTTTTAAGCAGAACAGCTTGCTAAAGTAAGTGCCTCTTTTTTCTCTGCATAGAAGTTCAAGGCAATATACAAGAGCAGGAAAGATAAATCTATGTTTAGTATTCCTGGAAACCACGTGCTCTTCAGTAATGCTGCCATTGAATTGTCAGAGAAAGATTATTATTTATTGACTGAAAAACTGGAGTACTATTTTCCTCAGAAGTCTTAGAAAAACAACATGACCCTTTCCCCCACTTTCTGCCTTTAGTGAATAAACAGATGAAGGCCGTAGCTGGTTATCTCCAGTCTGTGTCTAGCAGAAATGGGAAGAAGAGGCAAAGCCAAGGAATCAATTCCTTGACCTCCCCTTTATCAGCTAAGTTTTTTATTGCAAGGGCTTTGCTTGCAGAAACATGGGAAAGACGACAACATATGGCATCAAAACTTAGAAAAGTCATTCCAAAATCATGAGACTA